GCCGCCGCACCATCGTCCTCCAGCTTCGTCCAGCAGAGGTTCTGCTGCTGCTGCTGCTGCTGTTGCTGCTGCTGCAGGGTGCTTTGTATCACAGATGAATAGGCCACCGTGGTGGGCGTGGCATTGGCAGACGTTCCAGCGCCCGCCTCCGACCGCCTTTGTACCGGGGACGCCGTCTTGTAGACGATCACCTGGGCCTGCGGTGCACTGACCACGTCCACGGCATGTAAATTCGTGATGGGCGATCCATCTGCGGAGCTTAGCGCCGGACTGGCATACTGGGCTGGATAGGAACCCGCCGGAACTGGCACGGCCAGCGGCACCGGACTGCCGTCCTGCTGCTCGATTATCGTCGCCCGAAACGGCTGGCCATCCTTGCGCGTCACCTTGACCTTCCGGCCATCGATCGTGTAATAGGTGTCCGGCTCCGCAGCATCCGCCTCGGCGATCTCCTGCTGCAGTTGCTGCTGGAGCTGCTGCTGCTGCGCCGCCTGCTGTTGCTGCTGCTGCTGCTGTTGCAGTTGGATCAGGTAAATCGAGTCGTTGTAGGCTTTTAATTGCTTTTCCTGCTTAATCTGCTACAGCGCACCGTACATAGATTGAATCGGAATCGGAAAGTGTTTGGTTTGGGTTTGATTCGACATAGAGAGAGAGAGTGGCTAGACTAAGTCTTAGTCTAGGCTTTAATGGAGGTTGATTGGTTGATGGGGGGGCGGGGGATGTTATGTTAGTATGCGATAAATGCGATAGAACCTGCGGGGGTTTTAATGGGTGTGTATGTTTGTGGGCTTCCCCAGAAGCTGGTCTACTGAGAGCGTAAAACAAAAGAGTCCTACTCACCACTTTGTCGGCCACCAGATTGAGCTGTTGCTGCTGCGCCTGCTGCTGCTGCTGCTGCGCCGCCTGCTGCTGTTGCTGCTGCGCCGCCTGCTGTTGCTGCTGCTGCTGCTGCATGGCCAGGAAGGTGTTCGATATCATGTTCGGCGTGTTCCAGGTCAGCGACGTCGACGTCAGCGCCACCGTTGTGGGCGAGGGCGAGGCTCCGCTGGACGAGGAGTTCTCCCCGTAGTAATTCGAGGCCACATTGTTGACCACAGCGGCCGCTGCCGCCGACACAGCCGCCTGGTTCTGGAACGAGCTGAGCTGCTTGTCCAGCGAACTGGGCAGCTGCAGCTGGCGGTGCGGCGTGCTGACCGCCGACGAGGCATAGTGGGCGGGCTTCGGCTGCACGCTGGCCGCCGCCGCATGGTGGTAGATCTGCTGGAATACTGGGTTGTAGCTGCCAATCGGCGACGGAGGCACAAAGCTGCCGCCACTGGCGGCTGCCGCATTGAAGCTGGCGATGCTGGCCGCCGTGATGGTGGCCAGGTGCGGATGCTGGAAGTCCTCCGCCGTTCCGCCGGAGCTGCCGGCGCTGGCGGGCACGATGCGGTTGTAGGCGTACGACCAGGGACTGGAGTTGGGATCCATAATTGGCTTGGGCTCTTCTACTGCTGTTGGCTAACTGAAATAAATATGCCATTGTTAGTGGGTTCTGAATAATCAAGTAAAACTATGTATACAAAGGAATTTTAAGTCTTATTTGAACTATAAAATAAAAACCAATTTTCCATTATCATCCTTATTAACCTTTTCTTAGAAAATATTTTATAGTTTGTTACTACAAATAAAATCCTAACTGTTCGCGCCAATATTCTGATAGTGGGTTCTGAATAATAAAGTAAAACTATGTATACAAAGGTATTTTAAGACTTATTTTAACTATATTTAATAGTCAAATAGTCAAAAGCCAACACACCATTGTCATCCTTAATAACCTCTTCTTAGAAAATATTTTACAGTATATTTCTAGAAATATAAAAATCCTAACTGTTCGCGCCAATATTTAATAGCTATAAATATATATAAAATATAATTAAGATTAGATTAATTACTAAAGAAATGGCGCCAATAGTGATAGTGATTAATGTTGTATTTAAGAATAAAATATTTTAGGAGCTTTTTTTCCTTTGAAGTGTAGAAAAACATTTTTTTAAATTTTAAAATAATATTAATTTGTAGAATTTATAGTTTAACTTTCAAAATATAATTTGCATATGTATTATTTGTTTATCCCAATGTTTTTGTTATGAATTATTATTATTTTTGCAAAAAAAATTGGTTTCGCTAGGTTGAAAACAGGAACTGGGGTGTTTGTTTCCATACTTTTTTGCACTCATTGTTTCCCCCTTTTTTTTTTTTTTTGTATCCCTTTTGGCCACGATGCGCTTGGTTCCCCCTTCAAAAAATTTGGCGTCTGTATTTTTTGTCTTGGCGCTCGCCCTCAAATGCGCCCGCATTTTGCCCCGATATGGCGATAATGGGTTAATTGGGTGCTCACTTCTGACTTTACGATTGCGGGGCCATCGCATTTGCGGGATTTATGCTGTTTTCGGTAGTGTTTTTCTCGCTAGGAATAGGATTTTTTCCCGTATTTTCCGCTTGTACATATATGTATCCAGGCACACAAACACATACTCACACACACGGGCGTACATGCGTGCGTGTTGGAAGATAGTCACTAACTTTTTAGACGTTATAGAATCGGAACTGTCGGTCTGCTCGGGCCCAGCATTATCTTCACATCGGACTGCACAACGCTCCAAATAGCACGAGCGGAATTTATGTTTAATTTCGGGCGCAACGTTACGTTTTTTTTTTAGATTCGGTGCATAACTTTTTTGTGGATGAAACAATCTCCAAAATGGCCGCTCTGCTGCCAGTGAAAAACGAACTACTGGCTCAGGTGAATGATGCCAGGCTGAACTGGTTCACCGGTTCTCTGGTTCGCGCGGCGAGTGTTTATTGTTTGTATTGCTTTTGTATTGCCGTCGCATTTAGACTCCGTTATTGTTTAAAAAGTATAGTTTCTCCCGTGTTTTTTGTCGCACAGGTTAGTACTCCAATTGGGTAGCTTAACATACTGCGGACGATTCACAACTATCAGTTTGACAACTAATTAAATTCACATGTGCTGTGCTGCGCCATTCTCGCAAGTGTTGTATAATACCCTTAACGCCGGGACTTTGCCCATTCTATCTGTTGTTTACCATGAAATAGTTAACTCTGCTGTTTATTTACATTTTATGAGCACTGATTAAGGCACATTTGATTAAGTATAAACAAATTAATCGCTACTCGGCTCCAAGCTGTACGCACTCCACTCGCGGGCTGACCAACACTGTTCAATCGGAACTAGTTCCAAACACCCAGTGAGCAATTAGCGATATGCGAAAAAATTAATTTGTTCTTAATATTACAATAATATTTTAAAAGTTATAAGTTTAATTTAGCGTAATTTACATATCAAATTAAGTTTAGGCAAAACAAACAACCCCCATTTACACATTTTCCAACACTGCGGAACTAGATAATTTAGAACCCCAGTGGGAAATTTGGTGAAAAGGCCTTTACTTATTTATAGTTTCTGGTGAATTAATATTGTTGACAAAATAAAATAGGAAACAATTTAAAAAATGTCATTGTGATCTGTACTTCTAGATGGATTTTATTATTGTTGGTTATAAAACACCACCGCATCATATTGTAATTAACTTTAAAATGCAATTTTGAATATATTTAAGAAATGTATATTTTAAGAATTTTAATTATATATTTATCAAATTGTGTTCTCAAAGAACACTAGCCTTCGCGATAGTTGGAACGTTACCCATCACTGCTCGCACGGAACCAGTTCGATAACCTGCCGTTTTATTGTTGGTTCACTTCACTTACTAATGACAGTCATTTTACGTATTCATTGCTAAAAGAAAACTGAAAAAATACATTTGCCCGAATTTCCGGTTAGTCATCCGCCCACAGCGATCTTCATTCAGGCCTAACCGAATCAAAGGAGAGGTGCGTAGTGTCCAGGTGCCGAGGAGCCAGTTGGGAAGCGCCCGCAGCTGGCTGCTCCTCTGCGTACGTGTAAATCTGGGTGAGACGCCCACTAAATTGCCATCACAATCACAACATTTCCAGAGAGCACATCGCCATGGACTTTGGAGACGATTTCGCAGCCAAGGAGGAGGTGGATCCTGCGGCCGAGTTCCTGGCGCGCGAACAGTCGGCTCTCGGGGATTTGGAGGAGGAGATCACGGGGGGATCCGTTCCAGCTGCTGCCCCACAGGCTGCTGCATCCACAGACGACGGCGGTCTGGGTGAGCTGCTGGGCGGAGGAGGAGGTGGTGGTGCCAGCGATGGCGATCTTCTCTCGGCAGGCGGCACCGGCGGCCTGGAATCCTCCACGGGCAGCTTCGAGGTCATTGGCGGCGAGTCCAACGAACCCTTGGGCATAACGGGACCACCGCCGTCGCGGGAGGAGCCCGAAAAGATACGCAAGTGGCGCGAGGAGCAGAAACAGCGACTGGAGGAGAAGGACATCGAGGAGGAGCGGAAAAAGGAGGAGCTGCGGCAGCAGTCGAAGAAGGAGCTGGACGACTGGCTGCGCCAAATCGGAGAGTCCATATCGAAGACCAAGCTGGCGTCCCGCAATGCCGAGAAGCAGGCCGCCACTTTGGAGAACGGCACCATCGAACCGGGCACCGAATGGGAGCGCATAGCCAAGCTCTGCGACTTCAATCCCAAGGTGAACAAGGCGGGCAAGGATGTGTCCCGCATGCGATCCATCTACCTGCACCTCAAGCAGAATCCCATCCAGGTGCAGAAGAGCACCTAGGTAGTCTTAATTACGCACTCGCCTAACCACACATTGAGTTGAATATGAAAATTATTATTGAAAGTATTCGCTGTATATTCCAATTTATGATACATAAAATATTATTATTGCTGCTGAAACATAGCTGCGATCATCGTTTTGTCTAATGAATGCAATAAAAAATGTGCACACAGTTGTCCTGCTTTCCTTGACTATCAAATACCCATCACACACAAAATGCAAAAAACAAAAAACAAAAACTGGACATGAAAAAGTTAGGAAAAATAACAAATGAAAAATAAAATGAAGATACGACAACTAAACGAGATTGTTCTTTTGTCTTTTAAGATATCAATCTGGGCCCATAGACATTGTATTAATTTCTTGTTAATAAATATAATTATTACACTTTAAAATGCATCATCGAGAGCAGTTCTATTGAATGCCTTTATTAGTCTTATCGCTAATGAAACTGCCCGAATACATATAGCATATTTTAATCGTACACTTGTGTTGGAAAAGTCAACGGAACTTATGTATATGTATTACATTCATTGAATAGATTATGAGAATAAAAAAAATAAAACCCAAGCAATAAAGTTTTTGTGACTGTAGAATGTACAAAAGTAAGGGTATACTTCAAACTCTGATAAAAATGTATTTACTTATTTTTAGAATAATGTCTGAACAAGTACCAGTTGAAGATACCCAAAAGACTAAGTCACCTGACAACCACAAGCGGAGGGACTACCTTCACTGGGATGATTACTTCATGGCCACCTCCTTGCTCTCCGCCAAACGAAGCAAGGATCCCGTGACCCAAGTGGGTGCCTGCATCGTGGACTCACAAAATCGGATAGTGGCCATTGGCTACAATGGATTCCCTCGAAACTGCAGCGACGATGAGTTTCCTTGGTCGAAGGCCAAGAAGGGCACGCAGGAGTTCAATCCCCTGGAGGACAAGAAGATGTACGTGGTGCATGCGGAGGCCAATGCGATCCTCAACAGCAACGGCATGAGTTTGACTGGAACGCGACTGTATACCACACTCTTCCCCTGCAACGAATGCGCCAAACTCATCATACAGGTAGGAAATACATATATGTATAAGTAGAACTATTACGATTAATTTTTTTAGACAGATAACAAAATTCTATAATTTTGTTGATGGTTAAAACCATATTATTCATTCCTTTTAAATAACAATATATAACAATATAAATTTTAAATTTCCTCTTGCAGGTGGGCATTGCTCAGGTTCTCTACCTGTCCGACAAGTATGCAGAAAAACCCACATACCGGGCTTCCAAGCGGATGTTGGATGCAGTGGGCGTGGCCTACAAGCGACACCTGCCCCAACAAAAAAATATCATCATTGATTTTGACAATTTCCTGGAAGAAGATCCAAACACATCGCTGGGTCTGAACGACCTACACTTGTGATAAATTATTACTGACTTAAAAATTGTAGACCAATGTTGATAAAAACAAGCGAAATGATTTATAAATTATTTTTAAATACCAGTAAAGCAAAACCTTTTAAAACAAATTTTAAATTTCTAACTAAAAATAAAACATTAATTGACAAAGACAAAAATTCATTTTAATAATATAAACAAGAGTCTTTTCTTGTTCCATTGTCTTATTAGGAACGGTATGGAATGTTAAGTAGCCTTGCCCTTAAAGAGTTTAAAAAGTACTAAAACACATCGTGCAACGATACGAAAAAGTTTTTTAATTAGTACTTACTACGAACATAAGGGGATTCACTTGCACTAATTGACTTAGTAAACGTAAGGACTGTCACGTGAGACTCTTGGTGCCTCTTGCGGACACAGGTTGCCACCGGAGACATTACAGTATGTGATGAAAGTACCCTGCATAGGTCAAACTACCGGCTGCTTCAATGCCAAATCTTAGAAATAAATCCGAAAATTATATATTACACTCCTGAAGAAGAAAGTCATGCAGATAAAAGTTTTACGGAAAATGTATTATTTTGAAATAACATAAGAATGTAATTTTGGTAATGTTGTACCTACCCCGAAACATTTTATTGCACCATATGCCAAGGTCATTGCAAATTCTATTATTGCGCTACACATTACATTAATTAAGTTAGCCACTTTTGAACTTTGATGTTATGTTTGCTAAAATTTCGCATGCAGCCCCTTTAAATACTGGACTGAGCAAAATGTTTATGGGATGTTCTTAAATGGCACGCCAGCACGAAGGAGCTCCCACCTGGCCATCCAACCCATTCGCCCATTCCAAGTGAGAGTGGCGTGCGGCCAACCGGCCATTAGTACTGAATATGCAAAACAGAGCGCGGAACCGGATGAGGATGCCAATAAGAACAGCGCCGAGGACACGCGACCTTTCGGAAATCCACGAGTGCTTTCTACTTGCCGCCCTGCACTTTTATCTGAAGGCTGTATTCGAACGTGTCTGGTGGATTTCAATATCGAGGGACAAAGTAAATACTGGTTATACGGTGATGATGGCTAAGACAAACTGCGAAAGAAAATTCATTAAACGGAATATTGCAATACGAAAGCCACATGAAATGGCTCAATAGTATAAAAAGTGGTAACAATATAATAAATATTTGAAAATATTTTAATATTTATTTTATTAATAGAGGCTTAACTTCTTATTCATATACTTTTCAGTTTAATTTACTTGTGTCTATTTAAACTTAAATGTGCCACTAACTAGAATCCTTCCGGCTTAAAGAGTTACCAGGAAGAGAACTTCTAAGGAACAAGTAATCTTTGGATCTGGACGACTAAATAATCCGTTACTGAATCGACATGTATCGGAAGCATTTCGAATTTCCCAGCCAGTTGAAGGAGACGTATCCGTGGGGGGATTAGTTTCCGAATGTCTATGTATCTTCATCTCTCCCAGCCTTGTTCGTATTCATGAAATGCAGAGAAAGTTTACCGATTGCAGCGGAAACTTGTATCGCACGCACCTTCGCTAACTGAATTCGAAGTGGGCCCGAACATTCCGTAATCACTAATAGCGGGTTGCCCGCCCAAGACCCTAATTGCCATTAAAGTTAAAGCGCTCCGGCTGCCCAAAAACCCAAAATCGGGTCAGCGTAAAGGAGCTGGGGACAGGCCTAATTTTCGGTTTCGTGAATTTCAGCTACAAAATCCCCTTGAGGCCGCAGCCCAAAATCACACCGAGTGGCCAAGGCTTGGCGGTCCTTTGGACGATCCACATACATATATGTACGATACAAAGGCCATGGAACCGGCCAAATAATCAATACACAAGAAAGGAACCAAAACAAAGCTCTAGGTTGTGTGTAAGTATTTCAGAACATATCAAAAGAATTGCCGAAAAAAAGTGTTTGTTAGTGGAAACCATCATTCTTAATAATTTATTGTCATCAAACAGGTGTCACATAATGTAAGCTGATATGGCAACAGAAACAAGAAAACAGGCTAAGGGACAAACACTTTAAATAATTTAAAACAATTGGTAACTTCTTAAAGTTTTTTACTGTTTTTGGATAATTATACAAAGTTCACTTATTAGTATTAATTAAAAAACGTATATGAAAATAATCATAATTGTACTCACTTTTGTAAAATATTTCATTTTGGTTCACTTTTTCTATTGTTAAACTATCGGTATAAAATAAATTTTATAGATATAACAAATGTCGATTTACAAGATTATTTCAGCGCTAGGTGCTTCAATTAAAATGGATGTCTCTTTTACAAAATACCCTCTTCAATCTGGAAAAATGCAGACTTAATGGCTTTTTGTTGATTCCCCTTTTTAGCATGTTTTTTTTCTTTCCTATCCATCTAACACAAGCGGCACGTTTGGTTGAAGTTTTAACTGAAAGATGCATATCATAAATTCGAAATGCAAACACGAGAGACGTTATCAAAGTTGGCATCTTCGGATTAGCATCGCTGCGGTGTTCGCTCTCTTTCTACACAGAAAAAAAACGATTAAAGCAAGACAAAAAATTTAAAAATATAAGGATCAATGATGATTTTACTTCTGGCTTTGGTTCAGTCTTATTAAGAAAGTCAAATTTTTTTATTTATTATCATTTAAAAGAGTTTTTTATTATTACAACTCGGATGTTTATTCAAGCAAAAGAATTTTTCAAGGATTTAAATTGATATAATTGTTTTCTATAAAGAATTTTTTCCATCATTTTGGCCCTAATAATAAACAAAGGAATCTTTTCAAACATTGTTTTTTTTCCAGTGTACGTGGAATGCGTGGGAGAGAGCGAGAGAGCCGCGCGCAGCCTCCGCTGCAAAATGAACGGGAATGGCAATGAAACGGGGCAATCAGCTGATGCGGCCATCGCTCTTTGTTTTGCTTTTGGCAGCATGGCGGCAAATGGTGAGAGTAAGCGAGAGTGAGAGGTGGGCGGCGACGTCGACTGAGGCGGAGGCAGAGGCAGCGACTGCGGCAGAGGCCAAAAAGGATTTCCGAGCTTGTGGCCTGCGTTTAGTTTGTAACGGTATTCCACGCGCCACGGACGCCCGAGAAACGGATAACGGAACGCGACACACCCGTACACCCGTACGTATACGTAATGCTCTCCGCACAGTACGCGCTATTTCCGATCCATAGCAGCATATGCTTTTGGTTTTGGTTCTGGTGCTGGTTTTGGTCCCCCCCCCTTTCTCTTGTTTTTGTTTCTGGTTATATCTGTCACCACGAGCATTTTTTGTGTGTGGCTTCATTTAATGCCTTTTGCCGCCTTCTATATGGCATACTCGGCGTATACGTATATTTCTGCCGTTATTGTCGTCGGCGTTTATCTCTTTCCCGGACCGATGAAATTTCTGTGTTTGTTTACGCTCACGCCTTCACGTTCCGGCCACTTGTGCTGCCGCCGAAATGGAATGGTCCTGAACGCGCTACGTCGACGGCACATCCTAAATGCCAACAGAAACTTTCCAACCGAATCACTTTTTTATTCGCGCTCCTCAATTTAGTGCGTCGTTTGGTAAATTACTAACAAATTCCCTGCATTAAATGGGATCAAGAAACTAAAAAATCGACCCACGCGACGGATGAGAAACACTCGAAAATACTACATGCGAAAGAACATGCATTCCCATACGTTCCATACATATAAAAATAGTACATCTATCACTTGTACACGGTGAACAATAAATAAGGTTTTTCTGAATGTTTTAAATAATATGAATCAATTTAAAATCTACAGTTAAGGGATTCCCGGTATCAAGGACGAAAGGTTTTAGCCCGATGGTTTATTTTTAAAATTAGATGGATTTAATTTAGTTGTTAAATAATAATAAATATAAATAATATTAATTTAGTGACAATATTAAATTTTAACAAAATTCTTTCGGAACTTAATGTTGTTCTTATTGTTATCTTTAATTTTCCTGGTATTTTTCAGAGCGTTTATCGTTTGTACAAATTTACAAATAATCCTTTTCTGGAAAATACTTACGGCTAAAACTTGATTTTCAATAAAGAAATATTTTAACGGAATGTTATTCCTTGAATAGTTCTGCGAATAAAGTCCTTTTCTCAGTGTATAAATGAATTTTATAATATGTACTGATGTCGGCCAATAACAAGACCAAGCAGGAGAAATGTTTTAATGGAAAAAATAACAACAAAATGTAAAACGAAAGGTGCTGACAGTCAGCAGACGAAAAAATAAGACATGCAGCCAATTAATAATAGATAAACGATTCCATTACGATCCAAAGGTGTTTGCCATATGAATTACTTATGGTATTTCGTATTCCGCATGAGAAACGCAATATTTGTACAATCCATTTATCCATTTGCGTGTATGTTTAGTATGTATAAGTCTCGACAAGTATTATGTTAAGATATGAGTATGTATGAAAATCTCTGACCTATCTTTTTCCATTTGGCGGTGGCAAACTTTTTAGGAAAATGAGGACAGACAAGTGCAGTGTTTTTAAAACAAACAAGCAAAAAAGCAATAACAAAAGACTTAGCGGGGCAGACTAGAAAAAAAAAAAATGCGAATAAACAGCGGTGGGCTTCTAAAGCGTGCACAAATTTCAAAAGAATACTCTTAGTGTCTAAAGATGTTTTATGATTTATACTGTGTCGGCAAAGCAATTTAATGAAATTATTTTTTCCTATATTTTTTAACTAGCGTATATATATGATGGACGTTGATGCACTACGAGCAGTACAAACAAGTGGCCCAACGATACCAAGCACGTGCTTGTTACGCGCGGGACCCTTTATCAATTAGGGCAAAAATGCGAGTTCGCGAGGAAAATACATGAAACAAATAGAGACGGGACATATAAAGATTATAAAGATTATGAACTAAGATTGAAGCAAATGAGATAAAATTTTAGTTTTTAATACAGGGATAGATGTAGAAGTGCAAATTAAATGATAAAGATTGTTATAATTATTACATAGAACACGAAAGGGCTCATGCAGAGTAAAATTTGATGTACATCGAGGCAAATTAAGAGGGTAATAATTTCGTATTAGTCTAACGGGAACATTAAAAGTTAAACGGTTTACCAGTTCTACAGAATCAATATCACCTCTTATAAGATTATGCATAAAAATAGTACCAAGCATTATTCTACGGTTTTCAAGTGTAGGTAAATTAAGCAATAGTAATCTACTCTGGTAGGAAGGTAGCCTTACGTTTTGATCCCAGTTCAAACTACGAAGGGCAAAAAGGAGAAATTTTTTTGCACCGACTCAATACGGTCGATGTGCACTTGATATTGTGGACTCCAAACTGAAGAACAATATTCCAAAATAGGACGGACAAGGGAGGTAAATAATAATCTGGTTGTATAAGGGTCATCAAATTCTTTTGACCAACGCTTTATAAACCCAAAAACACTCATAGCTTTGTTGACAGTCAGCATTATGTGGCAGTCAAATTTAAGCTTCGGGTCCAGAAGAACGCCTAAATCATTATACCCGTTACTCGTAGAGTAAAAGGGTATATTAGATTCGTGCAAAAGTATGTAACAGCTAGAAGGAAGCGTTTCCGACCCCATAAAGTATATATATTCTTGATCAGGGGCACTAGCCGAGTCGATCTAGCCATGTCCGTCTGTCCGTCTGTCCGTCTGTCCGTCTGTCTGTCTGTCTGTCTGTCTGTCTGTCTGTCTGTCCGTCTGTATGAACGCTGAGATCTCAGAAACTACAAAAGCTAGAAGGTTGAGATTTCCCACACATATTCTTTGGCTTCCTACGCAGCGCAAGTTTATTTTAGCCGAGCGCCACGCCCCCGCTAACGCCCACTAACGATTTTAAAATGGGTCCTGCGCCCACACCTTTAAAGATTTCCGAGAAGTATAAATGCAATTTTGTTGTGTATATTTATACCTATCGAAATGTAGAAGACATTTTTCAAATCGGACCATTCATTAAAAAGTTATACGCAACCAAAATATCTACATATATCTATCTCCCTCGCACTCCCTTTAGCTGAGTTACGATTATTAGTCGGGACACCAACCCGACACAGCGTTCGCACTCCCTTTAGCTGAGTGACGGGTATTAGATAGTCGGGACAACAACCCGACTATAGCGTTCTCTCTTGTTTACTGAATATATACGGTCAAGTGGCAAGTTCTGAAGCAAATAACTTATAAATGTAGGAGTACCCCTATGAAAGGTCATTACGTTACATTTCAGGCAGTTCAAATTTAAGAGGTTATACTCACACCATACTTGAAAATTATCAATGTCTGATTGTAAGCCAAAACCAGACTCTATATTATTGTATGTCAAACAAAGCTTAACATCATCAGCATACATTAGTACGCGAGAATTTGTTATGATAGAGGGAAGATCGTTAATAAACAAAGTAAACAGCAAAGGGCCTAGATGACTACCCTGGGGCACTCCAGATGTCACGCGGATCATTTTAGAAGCAGCGTTCTTAAATATAACCCTCTGAGTCCTACCATTCAAATAACTTGAAATCCAAGTTAAAAGATTACATGGAAACCCAAGCAAGTCTAGTTTGAATAAAAGAAGAGAGTGGTTAACGGAGTCAAAGGCTTTACTGAAATCTGTATATATAACGTCGGTCTGCATTTTATTGTTAAATCCATTAATTACAATAGATGACAATTCAAGTAGGTTGGTGGTAGTCGATCTTCGCTTAACAAAACCGTGCTGACACGGTGATATTAGCGAGGAACATAAATGTTGCAAATGAGAGGTGATAATACGTTCAAAGGCTTTTGGAATTGCCGACAATTTAGAAATACCTCTATAATTCTGGGCATCCATCTTCGCACCCTTTTTGTGGAGTGGAATAATGAAAGAGTCCTTCCAGATAGTTGGAAAAACTGATGATGAAATAGACAAATGAAAAAGTTTAAGAATCGGTTTACAAATGGTTGAGGCACAAAACTTAAGCACACACCCGGGGAGTCCATCTGGACCGGGAGAATACGTTGGTGTTGTTGATGCTAAATCCTTTGAGAGAGAACTTTCGGTAATTACAGGGGTAAAAATACAATTTGCCCTATTTAAGGGGTTAGGGTAGATAGAATTTGACCAAACAGCCGAACTATAAGTAGTTTGGAAAAATTCAGCAAATAAATCCGCAATTTCAGAATCCGACGATGCTGTTTTTGAGTTTAAACGTACCGATGAAGGCAATGCCGAAGACTTACGCTTGGCATTAACAAAGGTATAAAACTGCTTCGGATCATTTGAAAATTCGAATTTACATTTATTTAAATACATAGAATAGCAATGACTGTTGAGAACATTAAAATCTGAACGAGCCACCACATATTTCGAAAAATCAGATGGCTTACCCGATTTTTTATACTTTTTATAAGTGTTGGACTTAAGATTTTTAAGTCTTTGAAGCGCATTGTTAAACCAAGGAGGCCTGTTTAGCTTTGGAGGAAACCTGTCAGGAACGCATTCGTCAAGAAAAGTGTTTAAAACGCTATAGAAAAGTTCAATTGCACTTTCAATATCCGTGCAATTGTACAAATCAGTCCAATTATATTGCGAAATCATGTAATTTAGTTTATTAAAGTCACATTTTCGAAAGCATCTCGTTTTAGTTTGAGGAACTAAAGGAGAAAGGGTATCAGTACAGGGGAGGCCAATTGTCAATTCCAATGTTGGATGATATTGGTCTTCAGGTACAACAAGTGCGTCAATTCTAGATACCGTAACTTCATGCGGATCTAAAACAAATACTAGATCTAATTGTCTATTTAAAGAATTTCGTATAAAGCTTACTTGCTGTAACGATAATTCCAAAAGGCCATCCACAAAATCATGGGCAGATAAAGGTGCAGCTACAGGTGAGTCAGTGGGAAGAGACCAAGAGATATTAGGGAGATTAAAGTCACCCAAAACAATCAAAAGGTCTCTGTTGGAAAGAAAGGATAGAACAGATTTTATAGCAGACAGATGGTGCTCATAAATTATTAAATCAGAGCCAGGAGGAATATAAGAGCAGGTTACAAAAATAGATGAGGATTGAATGGAAACTTTGACACTAACAAATTCTATATCGTTAGGGATATGAATGTTAAGTCTCTCCG